TGACATCGTAGTGACGTATATTTCCAGCACAAAGCCGTAACCTTGTTTCTTCGTATGACCGATCGTCCCTGCAGCTTGGCTTCTTCCGGAGACAGAAACGGAAAGAGAAGGACGAGCAGGAGGCCAACGGCAAAGTAGCCGAGGAGCGGTAACACAGGCTGACTGAGTCCTGCAGACACCTTTCCCACAGGGGACGAGACACTCAGGGACCACCTCAACACCCCCGCACCTCTCTCCTAGCCGCTCCCCGGCCCCGCAGTGGCTGTCACACAGACGGGGCCGCATGTCCACTGATGCAAGGCTTTAATCAGTGCACCGGACTTGTCCCGCGTCACCAGCCTCTGACCCTCGAGTCAGCACTGTCGCACTCACTCAGCATTCTTGCACTGATACAACATTGGTCCCACTTTTTTTCTCCATGTTCCACTGCCTGTGGTGCCGTCCCTCCACAGATCTTGGAGCCGTGGTGGTACTTTTCTTTTTGGCTTTATGTAAAAAAAAAAAATGAACAAAAAAACCCAAAAACGAATGGAACTGTTTCTAGTCATTTGGTTCGACGTTTTTATGTCTATTTCCTATTTGTGCATATTTATTTAACATTAATTAATCTTGGAGAAGAAAAAAAAGTTTGTGGGTGACTTTCCACCCAATCGATGATGCCGCTGTCAAGGTGTTACGTAGTAATAATCTCCATTGTGTTTAGCTGTCAGAATCTATGAAAGAAGAAAAATGAGATGCATGATGTTTCGCTTTCAGATGCTTTCCTTTAAGTATAGAAAAGGACGCTCCTGAATCCTACATCCTCAAACACAAGATGCTCTTTAAATCATTTCGATGCACTTTTTTGTTTGACATTGTACAAAATTAACTTGAAGTTGTAAATAACCAAGTACCTTTTTAAATTTCAGTATTAAATTTTTTAAATAATATTTCCACATTATATATTGCATTTTTTTTTAAGTTAAGCAAAAAAATAAATAAAAAAAATAGCTTTGTGCTACAGAATGATCAGAGTGAGACGGTTTCATGCCTTTTATTGTGCACTGCATCAGAGCAAAAGGTGTGCATGAAATACTAACTTATTAGGAGATATTACAAATAGGAATATAGAAGACACATATGGATCCATGTGTTCCGTTGACATGATGTGGAAAGCTGTAATATGGTCAAAAATTAAACATGGTTGTTGTTTATTTTTGTCTGTATTGGTTATCTGATGAGTTTGGGCTGCAAATGGACTGGAAATGTTCCTCTTACATCATTTCTGTTATTAACACTTGTACCTGTTGCTGTACAATTTGAAAGAAAAGCAAAGAATAAATTGATGTGGAAATGGATTTGTTTATTGTTTTTAAAGTGTCATCTCAGTGTTCTTCTGAGATTTACAATTCTCACTCATTTCTAAACTTACAACATGGTAAGAAAATATTCCTGTCTTTAATCAAGGTGACTGACTTTCGGAGATTATTTCTGAACAACTTTACAACAGATCAATTCTATAGCTTTGTTGCAACTCTTTAATATTTTAGACTAAAACTATAAAAACTCACTGAAACTGGTGCTACTCATTTTGTGTTGAGAAAGCTCTGAAATGACATAATATACGTTATATCAGTACCATTTAAGATGTACTTTGAATAACTTAATTTTCATTTTATAAGTAAATCCATGGCTTCATATTTGTTACAAACTCTGTTTATAGAAGATGGATCAAGCATGGAAGTTGGACCGAGTATATTGCCTTGTAAAAGTGTCCAAACCAATTTGGAATTTTTAAAATGTTTTATCATTTTATCTTTTAGCAATCTGACACATCACAACCTAAATACGTAAATGAATAAATGCATCCTACTCTTTTGGGGTTATATAATAGAACAGTGCAGAAAGGCACTGTTATATTACTTGAAAGAAAAGTACTATAGTTTAATCATTTGCTAGTAAAAACTAAAAGATTGAAAAATCTAAATCAGTGCTTCTCAACCTTTTTTTTGAGCCAGCGCCCTTTTGTCCATTATCCATCAAAAAATTTGTAGGCTACTTTTCACTGAATATTATTTTATTATTAATATTACTATCACTGTTGTTGATGTTTTGATTTTCGTGGTTGTTTCTGGAGTTATTGTGGATAGAACTTCAGTGTTTCTTTTGGGTTTCTGGTGCTGCAGCTCTGTGCTGCCTTCAGGAGAATGGGACATCAGAGTATCATCCATAAAATTTCACCCACATGGCATTTGCTGTGTAAACCAGAGCTCTCAGTGGAAAAACTGAAGTTCCAGATCCTTTTAATGCCATACACATATGGGACAGAAACCCGGTTGGAAACTTGAAGTAGACTGGAAAATGCTTGGTCCCGGGGGCAGACTGGCATGTGGGACTACCAGGGATTTCCCCAGTGGGCCGATGGGTGAGCGGGTCAATGGTTTAGCCCATGGGGAAGATGTCACGCTCGCCCCGCTGTCACGCAGTACGCTGCTGTAAACACATGGATGAACACTACAGGGTGAATCAGAGAAACTGACTCACCCTGTAGATACATTACACACATATATATTAATAATGTCTCACCCTCTACCCTCTGTACTCTCCTGCACCTCAAACACATTAAGATCTCCTGCTTGTTTTCTTTTTACTGTAACTGTCCCTCTCCTTGAGGAATCTGTTTATCGACCCAGCTAGAAAATACTGACCTGGTTTCAAGTCTGGGTGTAGTGTTGGACTCAGACTTGAACTTTCAGAGACAATTGAAATGAAGGCAATTAACAAACTGGGCTCTTAATCACCTGACACTTTGTTTTTAAGTAGATTCTGATTTATTCATTTTCATGTTGACACCATAAGACTTGAGATTTAAGTGGCTCCATGACACTTGAATGGATTTGGTTCATTTGGATTTGATTTACAATTGGCTTGATTGTTTTTAATTTCTGTACAATCAACAGATCTATATAAAATATTATATCCTATGTGATATCCTATGTTTGTATGACTTTAAGTGGAGTGCTGGCATTCCTAAATCACTGGAGCTACTGGATGTCAATGAGCAGAAGGCTGATAAACAATCTGAACTTCCTGAACATCTGACAGATGACAGCCTCTAGCTGATTGTCTCCATGCAACAATGCAAGTCATGCAAAAATATCCCTAACCAATGACTTGGAGCTTGTGGCCACACTTTTCAGCAGAGCTGTGTTTCAAAATTGACAATGCATAATTTTTTTATTCTTTTTTATCTTAATATTTGCTTGATTTATGAAAAACCGATTGCTTTTTATTAGCGGCAAACTCAAAATGAGCAGAGAATTCACTTTTTAAATACATCACCATATGCTTATTGAACTTATTTAAATCAGTTTTACTTGTTGCGCTGCTGAGATGAGCATTTCATATTAATTTGGATGAAGTCTGGCATTTAAATCCACCATGCTTCTGAAAAGTGCGTTGAAGATTTTGTGGTATTGACCTGCAGCCACCAGTAAGGGGCAGTGTTTACCAAACGCACCTGAAACCACGGTACAATCTAAATCAAGTCTCCTTTCATCAGTTTTATGTATCTGTTGCGTTATTTTGCATGTGACATAAGCATTTACTTGTTGTCTATATCAGATATTTTAATAACAAATTTCAATAAAACAGGGAGGCGGCGATATGTAGAAAACTTGTGTCTTTTTGCCTCTAAAAAATAGCATCTTAAGAGTCACTTTAATTTACTATCTGGCCACATTATTTGCATCTTGGTTTTTTTTAGCTTTTTTTTTTATGTCTATCTAGTTACATAATCCCACAACCCAGCCTTTCTTCGATGGATTCAGAAATAATCTTTCTATCAAAGGTACTAGATGCTTTCCCAGGTTCTCCTCAGATGCTGTGTGTGAAACGCTGAGGCCTGCAGGTGCACAGAGGCAAATGAAATTGTTAATATTGCTTTCTGAATTTCAAACGCCTGTAATAAATCAGGGTCAGTTTCGACGGACAGAGTCATTTGTGTGGTGCAGAGCGTGTTTGTGACAATGACACCTGCAAAGCAGTTTCACAAGAATGCTGCCGTCAAAAAAACACATTGATCCCAGAGGGTGAGGTTTGTTTTTACTGCCACTGAAAATTATACAGCACTAAAAAAATAAGAGAATGAAAATGATCAAAACCAGCTAGCCAATACACAATAAATCAAAAATAGACTACTTAAAATGAATTCACGTAATACGTGTTTTAATTTTTGGTCATGCAGATTACAAGCAAGGTGTGCTAATGATGCAATGACGTTACTTAATAAAGAAAAACAAAAAACTGGCGACATCAATGCAACATAAATATACTTTTTGATTGGGAAACTTACAAAAAAGTGACAAACCAGGTGTGACTTTTAAACTGACAATTTAAAAGAGAATTGACTCTCAAACGTTCATCTGCATATAAAGTGCTATATAAAAAGTTCAAGTTCCATCTCATTTCTTCAAACCATAAAGGTTTTCTTGGAACCATTGATGTTCTTAATTCATGTCTTTCAGTCTGAAAGAAGATGCTTGAGGCTAAAAACTCTCCACTAGATGTGCATATATCATATCTTTGGAGATAAAATATCTGCCAAGAGATGTATTATCCTGGTTGATAATTGCCTAAAAACGTTTATTATAGCTTAACGGCACTTTGCATCTTCACCTGTCTTATTATAGATTTATTTATTTTTTCAAGATTCGAAAATGGGAATAAAAAGCTTTACATAGAACAAAAGAAGTAAAACTGAACTCTTCAAACTCAGTGTTAAGTTGTCGAAAACAAAATATGCATAAAGTTTGTCAGGTACTGGACAGAAACTGAGCTTCGAAGAATATCCAGAAAGCCTGTAGAGAAATGCATCAAGACCACATTGAAATATTAAAGACATTCTGCCTATTTGGAAGTGTATAAATCAACAGCTGTAAGTCAATATAAAAAGTTCTGTAGATGTCTCACTAACAAAAGCATTCCCTGAGGGAAGCCTGCAGCTGGGTGACATGCGCCAACATGCTATAAAAAGTGCTTTGTAATGGTATTAGCTACACCAGAAACGAGGCTAAGAGCCCAAAGCTTTGTCATCCTCCGTTAAATCTGCAGTTTTAATTAAAGCAAGCTTATTCGAGTCCACTCTTCATAAACATATTCCCTCATTTTAAGAGCTTGTGAAATCCCTTTTTCATTTTGCACAACCTAAACACACCGGACAGACAGATTTCCAGCTGCTTTTCTTATTTTTTTGATGCATTCGTGGAAAAGTGAGAGGAAGAATGGCATTTTGAGGTCACACAAAATCTCTCGACAGTGACGCCAAAGGGTGCAGAGGACAGGAAGCACAGACGGAGAAGAGAAACATCAGCCCACAAAGCTGGAAGCCGACCACGCCATCTGCGCCCAGGTGACTCCCTCATCTCCAACCTGCCTGGTGGGCAGCTTTCCTCCATTGTCTGTGGAGGGCCTCCACTTCAGCCAAAAGATGACAGATGGAAATTTAGGACTGATGTGTCTTGGTTACACATCAGTCCAGCTCAGGTGGCCGACTGATGAAAATCATTTTTCAACGGTTCTCTTCAATCTAACGCTCCGTTAAGTATTTATTTAAATCAGCATCTCCACTCTGTGCTCAAGGAGAGATTGACTGCATACATTTGCATTTATTTATTTATTTTACTCACAGGAAGCACAACATTCTCAAACATTTTATAACAAGTACCACCAAACACCAAGTTTTCCAACCACTTTCATATTTAGTGTTTATGAGCAGCCGAGTGGCAGGATTTGGGCTCACCCAGTTTGCTGAGAGGTAGAAGAAAACTTCAGTGGTTTGTTTAGCTGAAAAGCTGAAATATCCAAGTCTGAGGTGAAAATTAAGACAGTTCTCGTTGGGCAGATTTCTGTTTCGGAAAGAGAGTTTCTCACCGACAGCCATCTAAAATTCACTTGTGCACCTTTTTTTATTCGTCTGTTTTGCGTCTTATTAAATCCACACATTTCTTTAATGAATATGATGCAGTGTTTAAATGCATCAGGTAAGAAAGTCATATTCAAAATATTAGAAAATACTTTCATTTGTCAAATTAAAAGCACCAGTTAAAAATAGGCAAGATAAGCATTTAACTTACCCATTTTAAGATACACTTATGTATCTTAAAATTATTCTCTTTAATTGGTCTTTTGTGATTAAATGTCATGTTTTCATAGTCAGCAGAAAATCATAATTAACCGAAACAAAGGCTGGAAATCACCAATTGGAGTAACTATTCTATATAATTTTTCATTTAGTAATAAAGTTCCTGAAATAAATGGACTTTTCAATAATATTCATTTGTATTGAATGGGTCTGTACATTATTAGCTTGTAGTGGTAGAAGCCTCTAGGGCGGCCATTAAGTTTTTCACTGTAGCTCGGTTTCATATATTGCTGTTTGGACTTCATAGCTCATGTTACCCACTATATAACAGACAATGGAGGCAAAGTATCAAAATAAATGTTTTACAAGTGAAGGCAGTGCTGCTTGGCACAGCATTAGAACCAATTCATTAAACCTCTTAAAGACTTGTGCACAATTTATATCCAGAAACCCATTGAAAATTCTGGCCATAATTCTGCAAAGTCGTTATTATAATTCAAGACAAATGAAAATCACAAAATGTAATCAGCTTGGAGAAATAATCAGCCAATTTTTTTTGTTTAGCTTTGTTTTCTATGATGGAAAAGCAATTTATTTACAGTCAGGCTTTACATGGCGAATGTCATGGCAAAAAACATTGTCGTATTTTAGAGTTCAACAGTGAATATCTCCGCCTTTCTCCGCGTGGCCAGGCTGATCCGTCCAGTCCCAGGCTTCTTCTTTTTTTCTTTTTTTTTTCTTGTCACTGTAGAGTGAAAAGACTAATCTCATAGAAAAGTCACAGAATGAGTCATCTGTTTTATAGTTTTCGCACGAAATGATCATTCCGTGTGACTCGTCACGCGTGGAATATTGGTGATTTTCAGGCTTGCGAAAAAACATTACGCACGAGCAATGCCAGCTGATTGAGCATAAATAAATAAATAAATAAATAGAGGCCGCGTTTTCATTCAGTGGGTGTACGGGATTGACTTAGAACTCGACGAACCTTTGCGGTCTATAATGGATAGGCTGTACTCCGTGTTGTCTATGATCTGGAGGGGCACACCTCCCTGGGTTTCTACGTGCGTAACGGAGCGCGTGGCGCAAGCCTTGCTCTGAGTGGGACTGGAGACTCTCCAGAACAAGCCGCTCAGCATCTTCCTGATCTCCGGCCTCATCAGGCAGTAGAGGATCGGGTTCAAGCAGCTGTTGGTGTGCGCCAGACACACCGTGACCGGGAACACGTACGTGTGCACCGTGTAGTATGACGTGTCCCAGTTGGCCGCGTTGAATTTGACCAAGACGCCCCAGAAGGTGATGGCATGGTTTGGCATCCAGCAGCAGAAGAAGGACAAAACGACAATAGCGACGGACTTGGTGACCCTGGACCTCCGTTTGGGGTTGCTGCCGTTCATGCTTTTCCGCCTAACGAATCGCAGGAGCATCATGTAATTGACGCAAACGATGAACATCGGGATGACGAAAGCGATCAATATTTTCTGGATGTGGTAGAGGGCCAGCCAGTCGTGTCCCTCTGGGAACCTGAGGAGGCACAGCTTTTCTCCAGCGACCACCGTCACAGTGGAGAAGACAGCCGTGGGAGCCGTGGCCGCGGTGGCGGCCAGCCACAGCACGGCGCACACCCACCTGACGCACCGTGACCTTCTGTAAGACCTTTTCTTCAGGGCTGACGCCACGGAGAGGTAGCGGGTCACGCTCATGGCGGTGAGGAAGAAGACGCTGGCGTACATGTTCATGACGGTGACCGACAGGACAATCTTGCACATCGCGTCTCCGAACGGCCAGCTGAAGTCCAGCGCCGTGTCCACGGCCCAGAAGGGCAGCGTGAGGACGAACTGGAAGTCCGTCACCGCCAAGTTGGTGATGAAAACATTTATGGTGGATCTTTTGCGACCCTGTCGCACCCGCATGAGGAAAAACACGAGAAGGTTCCCCACCAAGCCGACGGCGCACACCACCGAGTACACCACCGATATGAATATCCTCAGGATGGGAGAGCCGTCCGCGCTCACGTCGATGTCCTCGAATGTGAACTTGTCGTCTCCAGCGGAACTTTGGTTCGGCGCTGCGCTTTGGTTGAAGAGCTCATCCATTCTTAAAAACGCACAACACGCGACCCGCAGAGCATCCCCATCGGAGATAGAGATTCTGTGCTCTTCCTCAGCACCCTGTCATCTTCATCGTTTCCCCCTCTGAATGTCAGCTGACCCGGAATCCGCTTTTATACAGGTGTGTCGCTCCGCCGCAGCGCCAGGATTGGTCAACGGAAAGAGAGAGAAGCAGACTGTCCCGCGCTAGAAATGACTAGCAAAGCTCCGTCATTCACTTTCTAAAGATGTCAGACACTTACTGGTGAAAACGAAAGACGTCGCGTTCTTCATTAATGCAAAACGGGCTTGCGTGGTCTGCGACTGGAATCGTTGCGCACTCGGGCTGTGCGTAAAAACAACCAAACTGATCACTTTGGCGCAGCAACGCAACAATTAACAACAACAAATGTCAGTATTGCTGACAAGTGTAACGCGCTGTAGAGATCATGGTGGGCAACATTTAAACGCTTGAGGCTTTACAAGAAGACACGGATCGGTCTAACGATGCACAAGGGAAAGCTCCTAAGTTACCGCTGCGCTGTGTGGCTCGAAGCTGAATGCTGCACAAAAGGGTGACCTGCGAAGGGGTGTGAGGGCATCTGGGGGGGGATTAACTCCTCCCTCCCAGACATGGCAGCATCCATCTGAGCTCACCAGGACCTACAGGACCATAGGAACCACTGACCTACCATGACCTCTTCATGACGTTTATATACTGTGGTTTGATTTTCTACAACATTTAGACTTTCTTAGGATATTTAAGCTGCCACTGAGTTACTTCGAACAGGTTTGTATGCTGTGCAATAAAAATAAAGGTTTGTCAGTATGTCCTTTCTATCTTTTAATGTCAAACAGGACACATCTGTCTATCTGTCCATCTATCTTCGTTACGTTTCTGCTGGTGCTTTGAGTTTTTTGGCATCACTCTTCTGGGCAACTTCTGCTTCGTCAGCAACGTCGTCTGTTAATGTGCCTCAGTGACAAATGTCACACAAAGGTCTGTTATTATAAATACGCTACATTTGCATACAGTACATTAATCCTGGTATTTTTGAGTGTCCTTGCTCCCAAAGAGGGCCAAAGGGGGCAGTTTTTATTTGTCTCACAGACAGTTTCTCCCTTTGTCACCTTTACATGTTCCAGATAGCAGCCAGCGTAGATAAACAGAAAATGAAAATTTCTGATTATTATAACTTGAATGAGGTCACGTGGAAAAAGTAAATCGCATTTGAAACTCGGAGACGTTTGACATTTTAAGTTTTGCAAAGGTAGTGCAAAAATTCCTCAGCTTTTTTGCTGTGTCTATTTAGTTTTGGCAAACTAAACAGGCATATTTTTGCACATCTGGTTGGAATGCTAAAAATAACTAATTGGTTTGCGTTGAGGCATAAAGTTTTGACACTTACTATTAAATGGTATTAAATTAAGCTTTTCCCCGACAACAGCAGCTGAGAAAAGTTTAAGAAGCTACAGGCACATTTCACTTTACTGCTGACTCTAAACTACCTGTACCTGCTTAAGTTTTCCAGACGTTTGGAAAGCTGATACCTGTGTCTGCGACGCACACATTGGCAACCAGAGACCAATCTAGTTACACATTTCTAGCATTCTAGGTGGAGATGTTTGCAGTCTACCATAAAAGCATGTATTTTTTTTTATGCTTGTCAAAGAGGACGGGATGCTGCCGCTGTCCCAAAGTATCCATTCTTGACCCAGTCCTTGAGCAGCAGTTCTTCAAAGTTCTGGTTCCTTCAAAGCTGGAACCAGAACCCTTTGACTGCAAATGACTTACACAAAGTCTCTGTGAGTATATAGCTGCTGTTTCTGTGTCACCCTGAGAGGCGCATAAGGTGGAAAACCAAATCACACTCAAGCAAAATTAACCAAGTAATTAAATATTTTTTAAAAGTAGGCAACTAAGGTGGTATGAAGTTATGCAAAAAAAGAAAAAAAAACAGAAGGAAGTTCATTTTAAGCCCACAGATATTGAGGTTGTGTTCATAAATGTCCTTTTCTCTTCAAAAATGACACCAGTGCATTTTTTTTGTTGTTGTTTTAAAAAAGCCATAATAAAGAAGTTAGAGAAATAATTTAAAACATCAAGCCGCGTGTTTTAAAAATGTGATAAATGTTCTCAAAAAAATCATTTGTGGGACTTCACGTTTGTGGACCCCTCCAACGCAGCCCCCCTTTCCAACCTAAAAATGTTTTCTCCGATTTTAAGTGAATGCATCCCATCTGAGCGGGTCCTCGTCTGAACCCACTGAGAACCCGGCAGACCTCAGCCTTTCTGGGCTGGATTGTTTGGCTGTATACGATTCCTTGGTGCGGCCATTCCCCTTTAAGCCCCCGCACGGTCCTTGAAGAGCCAGCCTATTGTCTGAGGGTCCTCCCATCTGTGGGGGTGGCTCTGCAAAAAGTTTGCCGAGGGAAAAAAAAAGAAAAAAGAAAAAAAAAGTTTTCAAGCTGTCACTGGTCGTCGGGAGGAGACTGATGGAGGACAGGAGGAAGACCGAGGATCGCTCGATAAAGTGCCAAAGCCGACTTTGCAGAAGTTCCAGGGTTGGAGCCGGAATGCGCCCAAAGCAAGCGGCGGACGCAAACGATGATCAGGCCTCTACCGGAGATCTTCATTAGGACTGTGGCGGCTGAAGCGCGTGGTCCAAGTTGACGCCGAGCGCGCATCCAACTCATATGGACTTCATCTAAATTGAGCGCCGCGGAGCTTTATAGGAAGGCATTAGATGTTCCTGACACGCAGGTTCCCGTCCTGACGAGATGAGCCGTTCGGCGTGGGGGCTCCACGCTGCCGGACAAAGAGCGTCTCCCATTCAAGTCCTCGTCGCGCTTCTTTCGGCGCTGGAGATCTGCAGAGCTCTCGGATCCCCTCACGAACCAGGTCAGTGGTTCCCCCCCTGCACCCACCAGGCTTTTCGAGCCGTGCTTTTCTTTTTTCCATCAACACCACCTCTTGTTGCGCCTTCTGCCTCCGCGGCGCTTCATTTGCTCCTTGAGTGCGTCTAATTAAAGCCAGAGAAGGCGAGAAGCCCTGACTGGTGGCTTTCTGTCTCTGTGACTAGAAGCGCAGCTGCGACCTCTGTTCGCAAACCTTGCAGCCGACCACAGCAGTTACAGCTCGTTATGGTCGCTCCGGACATCTGCTTCATAGCCGCTCCGTCCGTTTCCATCTGATCCGACACGAAACCCTTTGGGAAAGTGCTTCTGCTCTGACGCTGACCTCTGACCTCTCGTGTCAGCAGCAGGAAACCACAGCTTTACTCTGGGAATTTACAGGATGCAATATGCACAGTATCTCTTTTTTTTATTATTATTATTGCGCGAGCCAGTTCCCATTCTCCTGCCGCGTGGAGACAGGAGCATCTGATATCTGGTCGGAAACACTCCCACGCCTCCACCTCTCCACTCCACTCCACTCCTCCCAGCGATTCCCTGAGTTTGTTGTTTTAGATGCGGAAAGCCAAAGCGCTCCCAAGCTCGAATCCCGTTCACATCAGAAGAGAGAGACAGAAAACGAAGCATTGAGGATTCGAGGCAAGGAGGTGATGCTGAGGGGAGGAATCACTTAACCAGTTAAAAAAAGGAAGAAACTCAGATAGTAAAGTAAGAGTGTCTTAAACCAAATGGGAAACCAGTAACAAACATTACATTTTGTCAAGTTAACAAGTTTTCCGTTTATTAATAAATCTCCTATTTATTAATGAAAACTTTACAACTAAATCTCTGTAATGCAATTGATTTCCAATAAATTTAATAACTGAAATGAAGAGCCTTTTTGAAGATATTCTCATTTGTCCAAACGCATCAGTGCAGACTGCCTGGCCAAAATAAAGAGTCACCCTTTGTGTTTCGCTAGACAAATGGAAGCCACCCCTTGGAAATGACTGCAGAGATTTAATGTGTTTCAGCTTTGCAACAAGTCATTCCCGAAACTACGGCGTCAGCAAACGCACCTCTTGGCTGTGGGAAAGCTGCTCTTCTGAATCATGAGGGTCCAATTATTAGTCTGCATCAGTTCAGCAAAACAACCAAGAAAATGGCTGTAAATATGAACGTTTTAAATAAATGATTTATTAAAGCCTGGCTTTTGGAAAAAAAACAAAAAAAACAAATATAAGGAAGAAGTGTGATCAAAAAAAAAAAAAAAAAAAACAAGTATTGCATTTAAACTTACTAAAACATTTATCTGTGATGGAAGGACAATTTTCACTGCCATAATTCTGTTTTTGATTGGATTATAATCCATTTAAAAATTGCAGCGCTGGAAAGAAAATTGGTTTGTGTGCTCAGTGGCGATGAGTCTAAATTCACTCTATGCCGAGTAACACGTGTCAGGAAAAGGAGTAAAATCTCACACACTCCCTTGATAAGACGCGTTTCCTCAGCACCATTCAGTTTTATGAGACGTTCTTGTTTCACTTCAAAACACGTTTAGGCATGCTTAATGTGGGAATGTTGCTTCATGTAGAGAAGCAACATTGCAATCAAAAGATTCATGTGCTAATATTTTCGTTCGCCAGAGTTAAAGGACAGTGGCATTGTAGCACAACAGATTCAGGTGTTTTCTCTGTGGACTCAGCCTTTCTTTGCAAGAAAAGAAAAGTTAAGGTGTCGCATCTGAGGTGGACGAACAGAATACTAATAAAAGTTCAATGCGAGTTCAACGGACCTTGAGTGTTTTTCAGATGTAACCACCTATCTCTTCTTTTTGTGCCAAACCTGAACACAAAAATCTGTAGTTTTTCCGCATTTTGTATTCATTTCATTGTTGTAACTTTTTTTTTTGTGGCAATGGCATCTTTCCCAATCTCTATGCTTTGTCACCCCATTGCGGGACGGTGAAGGAATTTCAATTGTGTTCACCGTGAGATTGATTTTTCCCAGCGATGTATCCTTCAAGCTGCCATTGCTACACTGTCTGCAGATATTACACTGACACTACATTCAGATGCACAAGAAACACAAATCTGGCTACAGTCGTAGAAAACGGCTGTATTCTTTTAAGGTAAGACAGGTGGAATCTGGGGATCCCGGCTGTATATGTGTAATCTTTTATTTAAAGCTTGATATCCTTTAATCCGGGGTTATGAGGATTAAAAGTGAATCTGATTGTCTGAAATTGTTTACTCCTGATGAAGACTGTTCTAAAGATTATAAAAATGGGCTATTTTTGTTGTACTACAACAATTAAATTGTATTTCATGAGAAAAATATCACATTGGATGCTTAAAAATTGCCTCAGTGTCCTCCGGTATGTGACAAAAAATATTGTTTAAATATGCCCAAGTCCAATGTTTGGCTGAATTTTATTTTTTGCATGGCCATTTATGCCACTGAGTGATGCAGCAGCAATCAGACGTCTGTGCGAACAAGTGTCCTACATGCACAGATGAAGCATGTTGACGTTGGAACAATTTTTATGGAAGGAATAATTGATGCTCCGTCTACGGATCGATTTTAAAGACGTTGAGCGATGAGAGCCGACGGCATTGTCACGATGTTGTGAGACATGGCAAACTGAAGTGCTTCGTTTAGTCCAGAGAGCCCAAAGCGCTTCACACAACTTTCAGCCACTCCTGGACACGGTCGCACTTTGAAAACGCATCCAACGGCAATGACCTGTTGTGACAGAAACTTTTATAGAGAAGTCTGTTTGGGTTTGTAGTCGGACTCAGGAGCGGTGGGGAGGTGACGTGATGCGCTTCACTGACGCAAACTTATGTCATCGTTTTTAGGATTATATTATTTTCATATTGCGTTTTTTTGGTTGAGGTGAAAAAGTCAAATACTGTTTCCTGTGAATGTAGCTTTTGTAGCCAGCTGTCAACTTTGAGTATTTTTTTAAATGTTCTCCCTTATTCTCTAAACTGGGATCACTCTGACTGCAATGTCTTATAAGTAATATGCTGACTGCTTTAAGGCAGTCCGCCTGATTTCACTTAAAACATGCGCAAATGATAACTGATCAAGTTATAGATACAAAAATAAAATTGAACTAAAATGATTTGAGTTGAACTAAGGAATGTGCAGCTTGGGCATTTTCTCTCCAGCAACACCTGAATGGATACAAAAGATTTTCTTTCATATATATTTTAATTGAGCTCTAAGACATTTTAATGTCATGCCGGGTTAACTAACCCACATTCCCCCACTTTCCTCTAGAAGGGTTGTTGAATAATATGTACTTTATTACGCCTTTTGAAGGCAAAATTTCTTTGTTTTTATCAATCTTCTGGAGCTCTTAGAGATTCATCTTTTGATCCTGCTGATGCATTCACTTCAGGTTGGAGGAAATTAAGGATCATTTCCATTCGAATAAATTTCAAAAGCCATAATTAACCCACTGCACATGAAAGTGAAAGACAAATGGTGAAAAGGAAATTAGGTTTTGAAGCATTAATGAAAGACTACGCCTGCATCCAAGCACATAAATGACGTTATTATGCAGTCATGAGATGTGGTTTAGAGTTTCAGAGTCTGATTCACAGCTTTCCAGACCCTTAATTGTTTAATTGCCCTCTTTAGTCCCACATTAGATTAGCCCATCTTCCCAAACATAATTCTTTCCCACCGTGGCTTTTACAGAGGGATTTCTGCGTGACCTGCCTCCGTATGAAGTGGTTCACCCCACCAGAGTCGATGCCAGAGGCCACTTCCTGTCAAACATCCTGTCTCACCATGCCCGCCGCGTGCAGCGCCGGGAAACCTCCCAGGAGAGAGCAGACAGCGATCGAGTCTTCTACCAGTTTATGCACGGCGGCCACAGCTTGCGCTTTAACCTCACCCTTAACCCAAACCTGCTGGCTCCGGGTTTCACCACAGAGAGGAGGTACGGTGGCCTGGAAGGGGCCAAGATCCATCGGCCCGGAGACCCCAGGTGTCACTATCTAGGCGAGGTGTGGGACAGGGCCGCTGCTAAGGGGAGTGCTGCGATAAGTACATGCAATGGACTGGTGAGTAATACGATGATCTGAAATAATGTCAAAGCTTGGCGTTTGTGTTTAATGTATGGGAGAACGTACACTGCAAAAACACAAATCGAGGTTTTACTGCAAATATCAGTACACTTGCAATAAGACAATGTCTTTTCAGCAAGATATAGGAGCTTAAGTCGATCAAGCTTAAATAATTTTCCACTGGCAGATTATTTAAGATATGGCTCGTCCTTTTTCAACTATATTAAGGACTTATTGACTTAAAATAGTCACTATATCTCATGAAAATTTACTCGCAAGTTATTTTTGTCTTATTTCAAGGGTACTGAGATATTTGCACTAGAAACTAGACCAAAAATGCTTGGTGAGATTATTATTGCATCGTACACACATTAAAGTTTGTGAAAGAACCCTATGACTTATAGCGTTTTAATATGTGAAAACACTTGTTGGAGACATAAATTCAATAGTGTGAGAATTTTTTGTTTGTAACCATTCTGAGATTAATTTGGAGCCTGGGTCTCCAGATCTACTGTCCTGCGGGTCATAGATGCATCTCTGCATCTTATTAGTATCTCATCAAAAGAGACATGATAGCAGGCTGGACATGTCATTGAATTATTTGGTTGAGCTATGTTGAAGAGGGATTCATCCGGCAGGACGGTAGATTTTAAGGACAAGGCAGGGAGACCCCTGATTTAGAGGGCTATATCCAAACCCCGTTGATTAAAGCATCTTAAATTTTGTTTAATAAATCAGTTTTGTGTGCTGGGGAGATTTGCATACTTTCCTTCAGCTGGACTGTTCTTAATCTGCACAGCAGCGATCAAAATAATCAGTCCATGGACGTAACCCAAGAACAGGGGCTTGTCCTCTGACGCTTTGCCAGACTTTCACTGTTGCTGCATCCAGCAGTGGTGTTTGTGCATATTTGTTTTGTTTGTCCTCAGCAGCGTCGTTACAGACCCAGCTGGTTTAAAAAAAGGTTACGTCGCCTCGGCCACTTTAGAAGAATCAATTTTCTCCTCATGACGAAGCCATGAAATCAACCTTTTGGAAAAAGGACAGAAACCTGATGTTGCACCTGGTAAACATATCATACGGTTGAGTGTCAAAACAATTTATTTTTAATTGATTTATCCAAACTTTAGTGATTTTAACCCGTGCACAAATTATAACTCAGTATGGATTTTAAAAATGTAGACGGTGTCAATATTTTATGTGCAGAGAGGACAATATCTATACTCCTCTATTAATATCTACATTCTTTTAGCAGCTTGTGCCTCAACATTTATGCTGCATGTTATTATTATTACTTCTGGAGGCCCAGGCCTGCTGCAGATTTGATTAACAAATTTAGTGTGGAAGTGAATTACAGAAAGTTAGACTCCTTTATAAAACCACTTCTGATTTGTTTTGGATGATTGTTCTCTTACCCAATCACAGAGCTGTAGATTTAAAGTTGCAGTAGAAGAATTTGGAGATGGTCATCGTTATTAATATTTCATCCGTTGCATGCGGTGCACTAGCATCAGTGACACCAAACCGGCCTCGGAGCACGATGCCTTCACCACCACCGGGTTTACGAGGTTTGAAAGCCTGCAGCTGAGACGGTTCAAAACCTCTCGACTGAATGCGAAACTTTCTCCAGAAATCTTTCGGCTCTCTGTCAAACCCCGAGACATAAAATTTAAAAGATTGATGTTTTTTTTTTTTCTCTCCCCCTCTTGGCATCCTTCATGATGGTGCGACAGTGTTGTTGCTATTTATTTGTTTAGGGCAGGGGTGATCAAGTCCAGTTCTCCAGAAACACCATCCTGCAACTATCGGTTGGAGAAAGGCTGCATCTCAAAGCCGCAGGACGGCGGCTCTGGAGGACTGGACTTGAGCACTCCTGGATTAGGGTGATTATCTCTAAATAACCTTGACTAAGGAGAAAATTATTTCTTTTTAGTTTTTTTTTTGTGATTGTTCCATTGCACTGAGTATCTACAACTGTGCAGAGCATACTGCACTGCAGTGCATACTGCTTTTGGATTAAAATAACAGTCTGATTAAACAACTTTTCAAGTACCAGGGCCGCTTTTTTAAAATAACTTAAAAATTTGCAATATTCTGAATGAAGCAGTTTTCATTTCAGCCCACTGCAGGGTAATATCCAAGAAACACAGTACTTGTTCTTTTATCGCTTCTTTTATTCTTGGCTGGTTTTATATGTTAAATATTTTTGAAATAATTATTGAGAAAAGAAACCTTTGTATTCAAGCATCAGTTTGTATGTGTAATTGTTTTACATTGACTGGAAATCTTTTTTTGAAATTTTTTTTTTCATTTTAATTTACTTTACACAAAACTTTAGTTGAACTCTTTTCTTAAATCAAACTTTAAAAAAAAAAAGTTAAGTAAATTAAATCAGCTTCACTTGTAGATAAAAACAGGTAATCCAAATCCTATTTGCCTGATGTGAAAATATAGGTTGCACTTTTTAAATGAGGGATTTACCATAAGTGGTTCAGTTTCAATTGGATCTTTGTCAAAGAGATTAATTAGGGCCAACCTGTTTGAAAACAAAATCTTTGTCTTCTGCCAGGAAACGATTATGAAGCCATTTCTACAAAGTAGAGTTCAGCCGGGTTATGTATCAAGGACGGCGATCCACAACCGGCACAACCGCTTCAGAACGGCAAGATAAAAATGCAGTTCAGGTTCTGAAGCGGCCCAATCAAGGTCCAGACTTAAATCTGATTGAGATTCTGTGGTGTTGCATTAAACGAGACTTTGAAGACCCAAAACCCTTCAGTTTGACTGAATGGGAAATCTGCTAAGAAGAGTGGGGCAGTGACGTAAAACACTGTCATTATTACAAACAGTGTAGCTAAAACTCAATGCCAGAAGAACCGTTGTTGTTTTCTTAGGCAACAAAAAGATAACTTGAAACAATAATTTAGCAAATGAGGAAAAATATGTAATCTCAGAAACAAACACACCATCTTAAAGAGTTTGTTTTTGTTTAGGTTTTTTTTCTTTGCTCAGAGGATTCAACATTTAGTTCTCATGGTCTGACATACACACTTTGACGTGTTTGGCGAGATAAGAGTAAGAAGCCAAGCGTGGGGCATTTTCTGCACATTTTAAATTTAAATCAACTTCGTTCAAAATGCTGCTGGTGATTTCTGCTCCACTTAATCCACCGCCATGTCCGCGGCAATGGTTGCACGCAATTTAACCACACCAAACTTTATGATTATCTAGATTACAAGCAATAGAGAATTAAAAATTCACACAAGTCCAGGTATGAACTTCCCTCCCCCAAAGTCCACGCATGCCTTTGTTGGGAAGCTGCTCTCTGATGGCGTCCCTCTAAAAAGGACATTTTAGTAAATACTCTGAAAATGTCTTTATTGCTTCAGTCCTTTTCAGACCCAAATGCTATGGATGGAAAGTGGGATAACAGAGATTAGTATTGAATATCTCCTAATTCACTGAATACGACTGAGCAACCTGACAGACATGGATAGTGTCTGGGAATGTCAGATTCCATAGAGATCCTTCATCTGGTTTTGGTTCCAATCCTAACTGGTCAATTATAAAGTCAAAAATAATTTGACTTTAAGCCGCTGCGCTGTAGCTCTGGTCGTATGTTCGGCTTCGGTCTCGTGAGGAAAGCCGAGTTCGAGGCTCTTGCCGCTTTCGACTTGTTTTCCTCCAGGATTCCTCTGAGCTCGGCTGCATCCATGTTCCCATTGACTCTGTATCTTCTCCCTGAAGAAAAGCATGATTCGGCCACCGACATGCTACACCTTGAGAATGGGGGTTTTCAGCTGGACGCCCATTGTGTGCTCCATGTGACATTTGCCGGCCTTCAGAGTGACTTCTTACAGCTTTCTTCTTGCCGTTCTTTCATAAGAGGCAGCTGTGTGGAGTTCTTGAATAATGGCCGTCCTGTTCCCTCAACGTCCTACTTTGAGCTGTGGTTCCCTGCAGCTCCCCTGGGGTTACCTCTTGGCTGCGTCGGATGAATCCTCTGTCTGCCTGGCCTGTCTGTTTATGTGAGAAGGATGCGTCACATGTTCGTACTCTTCTGTTTTGGAAATGTTGAGTGGAAGAATGCTTTAAGGTGCTGGGAGCTTGAGGTTTGGGTTTGTAAGCTGACACAGTCATAAAACTCTCCACCTCTTCGTCCCTGAGCACTTTGATCTCGATTGCTGTTTCCTGGTGTTCTCTAATAAACCTCCACAAACATCTGGTTTTATAGTAAGATTACATTACACACAGGTGGACTCTTTTTGCTAATGGGGGATTTCTCAAGGCAATTCATTGCACTGGATGTTATTTAACGATCTCAGAAAGGTTTCATGAACCCTTTGTCCTTTTTTTAATGTATTTGATTGAGATATAGTGAGTTAGACTCATTATTGTACAACACGGTACAGTTTTTATTGTTTTTTCCGTTTTTATGCTTCAGCTGCCGGATTGTTGTTGTTTAGAGAAACTCTTGTGTTCCAAGAGCAGCTAATTGCCCGTTTATAAAAGCAGTCTTTGGAAACTGTGTGAGAACCTTTCTTTGGTTTTTTTATATTTCCTGTCTCTCCCGCTTGAGTGTAAACTTTCTGTGCAGCAAACGTACAGTTAGAAAAACTCTTGAAAGCACAGTAAGAAGCAGATGTGCTTCCTGTTTGAGTGCTGAGGTCTGGGTGTTGGTTGGGCTGCTTGTCCACCTTCTGCCTGAACCTTGAGAGCGCTCCTCGTTTCCTTTTACTCTTAAAATGGAATTGCTTCTTTAGCTGTCCATTATTTTTGACTTGCAGCGTATCAAGGTTTAGGTAAATGTGTTCAGCAGGTTGTCGGTTAAGAAAAACATTTGCTTAATTGGTTAGTATAAAACCAAAACATGTCAGGATGTTTTATAGATTCTCCACTGCCCCGGGGCGTTTCGATGGTACGAACCCTGATTTCAGCCTGAACGAAACACGCTTCTCGCCATACGTGGCTCCAGCTCCTCGCCAGCACGCTGTGAT